GCGCTTTTGGAAGAATGGTCAAAAATTCCTATAAACACTCTCCTCAACCTTGTGGACAGTCTTCCCAGAAGAGTTGAAGCTGTAATAGCTGCAAAAGGTGGACCAACATCATATTGAACTCTGGGTTAGGAATGGGATGGCACTTCAGTTCATAGTATGAGTCAAGGCAGGTGAGCGAATACTTTTGGTAATATAGTGTATATTTGAATACACATATATACATACATTTTTTAAAGTAATTACAGTAAAACCTTTGCAGGACGTTTCTTTTTCTTATAGATTAATTCTTTTAAAATACTGATATATTTTTATCAGTATGTGTATCAAATTACAGAGGTGGGAGCAAGTCATTGCTTTGCATGTCACAAGTAAGTCTCAAATCTTTGCACAAGTCCAAGTCAAGTCTCAAGTCAAGACAGGCAAAGTCCGAGTCGAGTCCAAGTCAAGACTGAAAAGTGTCAAGTCAAGTCCCAAGTCCTGCCGTTTCTGTTTCAAGTCCTTTTAAACAAAATAATAATATATTCAGATAATAATATAATATAACAGATCATGTATGCTTTGTAAATCTGTATTTATTTATCAAAACAAGTGCAATTGAAATTGCAGAAAGATATTGGTGACATTGCACTTCCTAATTGCAATAATAAATAAACCACTCCTTTAAGGAATAAACAGTTGAAAAAACAAATTTTTTAATAAATACATTTTTTCAATAGTTTTGAGAATCTCTCTTCAGCGAGGTTCTTTGTTTTTGATGTCAGTGTTCTGCGACACACTGGGCTGTACTTGCTGTCAAGTACTGTCAGAAAGTGCCGAAAACTCTTGTTTTCCATGATCCAGGAATTGTGAAATTGAGGGCTGCTGTGGTTCATTTGGGATCCTTTCGGCCATCTGGTACTCTTCAAAGCTGTAAACATATTAAATGGATGTCAGAATATCCCTTATAACCACATATTCATTAAAATGAAACTACTGTATTGCTCATATTATTATATTATATTATTATAATATTATTAATATCAATTTTAACTTTGTGTTAAGAATTGTAATGTGTGTGTGTGTGTGTCTACGTTACAGTTGAAACACAGCCCAAACTGAAGTTATATTGCTTGAAAATTAAATTCACTCTCTGAAGCACACGTACTTCCTGCAAGATAAAACCAGCAGCACAATAAAATGTAAAGGGCTAAAATACGCTGACTGCCGTCTACTGAGTGTGATACAATGACAAATGTTATGTAACCCATACAATCCTACATTAAAAAAAAACACTAACAAATGTATGAATAGGGGAGGGAACTCCCAGTGGAGACGACAGATTGCCGTGTTTGCAATGTAACGATAACAGTGATTTTACAGCCTCATTGGTTTAACTACGCAGCAAAACAAAGCTACTAAGCTAATAAACGATAGCTTTAATTCAAAACTTACCGTTCTTTGTGCAGCTTTAAATGTCGGACGAAGTTGGAAGTTGTAGCGTCTCCGTCTGAAATCTTCGACCCGCACGTTTTGCATACTGCCACTCTTTTTTTGTTGACCACCTCGGAGTTTTTAAATCCGAACAACACTTCTTCTTGGTCTTTGGTTTCATTTTCTCTCACCTGCGCGTTGTTTGACAGCTCTTCCTCATGGTTGTGCCGCAATTTGATTGACTCGGTGCTATCGCGTCAAAAACAACGTGGGTCTAATTTGATTGGATGTTTTGCCGACAACACACACACACACACACACACACACACACACACACAATGAGAGCTACAGAGCGCTCTTTAATAACTTACTTTATAATCTTTGGGTTTTGGAGAATGTATCAAGTCTTGTCGAGTCAAAGGGCTCAAGTCCGAGTGAAGCCACGAGTCACTGATGTCAAAGTCCAAGTGTAGTTGCAAGTCTTATTTTGTCAAGTCGAGTCTAAAGTCATCAAATTGATGACTCGAGTCCAAGTCGTGCAACTCAAGTCCACCTCTGTCAAATTGTCAATCAAATTTCCAAAATATGAGATAATGTACAGTATTGATTAACTTATTAGTTTATATATAGCTGGTAAACATTAACTTTTTGAGTTTTGAAAACTAGTAAAATATGTTACCGGAGTTTTAGTTTGGTCCAAACGCTGCCTGTTTACAGACTGAATGACAGTTGGTTGACAGTTGGTCACACAGACCATGTGACAGTGTGTTTACACTTCAGCTGCTTGCTGCAGCACGCTACATGCTAATCAGCAGAGATATGCAGTTTGTTTTTCAGACCAAAACATTCTCTGACCCACTTCTGACCGTGGGCTTTATCTTTGTTTGGAATGGGTGGCAGCAGTGGATTAGGTCTGACTTCACCTCACTTCACTTTTTATAGGTTTATATTGTACTTTGGATCGTACATTACGTAAACTTTACTGATTCACGTCGACCAATGTGATCATCCCTGCGTTACCTTTGTTTAGCTTTGGGTTCTTATTATGCAACCAGTCACGATTTTCTCTCCTGTCCTGGAACCTAGCCGCCTTCACAAGACCAAAAAAAAAAAAACCCACCTCCTTTTCGCTTTGCACAATGTGGCGCTTGGCCAGCTTCTCCAGCTCGATGTAGGCGTTGTTGGCATGCGTCTCCACCTCTTTCTGGACCTTCAGCTGGTGCTCGTCCATCTCGGCTTTCAGCTTGTTTTCCAGAGCGATCAGCTGCTTCTGGTGCTGCCGCCGCATCCGTTTGTAGCCGGACATCTGCTCCCGCAGCTCACTCATGCTCGCTCATGCTCGTGGATCTGCTTGGTTACCTTTGGAGGAAACACAAAAGTAGCTGAATTAGAATATTTAATTATAAAAAATATAATAATTAAATATGGAATTCAAGACAAATACTGAAGACGTTTCTCATCAAATAAAAATATTTTGAAAACATTTTTAGAAAAAACATTTTTTGGAATTTTTTTGGTAAAATCCAAATTTTGCGCGTCATGTTGTCAGATGGTGAAAAATTTGATCTCTTGCAAAAACATTTAAAACATTTGTTAAAAAAATGAACAGTGGTTAAATTTGAAAAGTTGTGAAACCCTTTAGGATGAAGATGTCAGGACTTCATTATTCCGACCATCGCACATCATCACCTGTGGATATGTGTTCAGGTCAAGTCGACAAACAACTCATTCAAATCATAACAGTAGTTGTTTTGATGGCAAATATTATTGATATTTACATATATATATATTTTCAAACCTGTGCACAGAAAGGGTTCTCCGTGTCTAAGTAGTCGCTCCTCATCTTCTCGTAGCTGCCGCCTGAACTCCTCAAGCCAAACATGATGGCTATTTTTGCCAAGTGCACCAGCATCCAGGGACCTTGTACAGCCTACGCCTGACAGAACCCTGTCTGAGCTCCGGTACCACCCTGAGACTACTGGACAAGGACCTTGCCCCCTTCCTCCCCTCACGACACCTCCCACCTTCTCTCGCTCTTGGTTTGCGCCCTGGGCACGCAGCGAATAAGGCCCGTGGACTGCGCAGGCCAACAAGAGCACAAAGCGGCCCTTCAGTCGGGCTAACACCATGCAGCAGGTGGGTCACATGAATACCTCATTGAGAAGGAGTGAAAAGTCGAGGAGGAGGGGGGCGAGAGAGACGGCGAGAGAGATGAGGGGAGGAGGGGGGAGATTGCAGAGGGAGAAACAGCAGATGGAGAGTGACTAGGAGAGAGTTAAATAAATGGAAATAATGGGAGGTAAAGTCCGAGTGAGTAGATGAGGAGGGGAAAAAAAACGTTCTGAGAGACAAAGCTGGAGTGGAGGCCACACTCGTCTTTTTAATCTGTGCTGAATCAATAACCCTACTGTAATAGAAGAAAAGCCCCCCAAGCCTTGTCACTTGTTTCGCCCCCGCCCTGTGTGCTGCCACAAAGAGCCAAGTCACATCATGTGACGAACCCTTTCACACCAGACTCGGGCCTCTGTGATCATATTCAAGGGAACGGAGGGAAAAGGTGAAGCGTCCAGTGAGATTCAAGAGAATTAAGCCGCTGAACTGTGGTTAAACAGTGGCGGTACCGGGACGCCAGAAGCCTGAGTCCGCCCGGGATAGCCTCCCCGCCTCACCGGGTAAGTGAAAAAACTACAAGAGTAGTGGTATTTCACCGGCGGACTC